CTATTGCTACTACTTCTTCTACTACTACTACTACTACTACTACTGCTACTACTGCTACTGCTACTGCTACTGCTACTGCTACTGCTACTGCTGCCAGTGCTACTGCTACTGCTTTACTGCTACTACTACTGCTGCTGCTACTACTACTACTACTGCTGCTGCTGCTGCTGCTGCTACTACTACTACTACAACTACAACTACTACTGCTACTGCTACTGCTACTGCTACTCCTACTCCTACTCCTACTCCTACTCCTACTCCTACTCCTACTCCTACTCCTACTACTAAACACAGCAACTACTACAACAACTACAACCACAACCACAACTGCAACTGCTACTGATATTGCCACCACCACCACCACCACCACCACCACCACCACCACCACCACCACCACCACCAACACAACTACGACGACGACTACTTCTACTGCGACTCTCTTGCTAGTAAAGCCTCTCTGGTCATGGCCATGAGTAGCAGTACTAGGTATTTAGGGCGTTCGTTCCGTTCTTGGTCATTCGCACGAAGTACTATTCTTGGTCGACATGTCTATGTTGCCGGGGAAGATGGGGGAAGCAGAGAAGGTGTTTTGGCTGAGTTCGGCCGGGCAAGCCGTAAGATTAAAGGACGGGCATCCTGTGACTGTGACGTGAATCCCTGACATGAAGCACAAGCTTCCTCAGCCCAAGTTGCGAGAGCTCAGGATAACGTTGACAGCGTCTCGTTTGCAGAAATCGAGGGTGACCCTCACTGTCTTGCATCCATTAGGCACAGGCGACCACTGGATGAAGGGGGGTTTGCTTGTCAACATGCCTGCACCTTGACACATGGTTGGCCCGAACTTGGGCTTCGTTGCTTTTTACTGTTCTGAATCAAGCCACAAGATGTTGCACCTGTTCCATCTAGGTTATGCCATGGAGCACAAGATCAAGTGCAAAGCGACTGCGGACTTCTTGACCAAAGGCACGCGTATGAGCTTGTGCCTATGCCTCTATCCCTGGGGGATAGAGGCATAGATAGTTCTGTATTTGAGAGATGTAAAGCCGCGACCGTTTGCTTCCCTATTGATACCTTGAAGCCCGAGCTTATGAAATGGGCATCCAACACTTGAACATCTTGTGAAGACCCTTTCGCGACTGGCGCACGGAGCGTTCTTGCAGTTTTTGTCCTGGAAACTCCACAAAAATCCAAAACCCCTCTAAACCCTGCATCACCAAAATGGATGACTTGATCCAGCACAGTGTGCCTTAGTTGCTTAATGTTTGCGCTCGGGAGCTGCTGGTGGCAGCTTACTTACTTGCCTATGAGCTACTTCGAACCCTGCACGAACCCTGGAAAATCTTCAGCAGCAGGTTGTCAAACATCGCTAAACTGTTGATAGAAGCGCGGAAACCTTCGCACAGAGCCCATGTAACAGGAACACAACAGATGTGTGTATATACTTATGTATGTATGTATGTATGTATGTATGTATGTAGGTATATACATACGTGTATAAATAAATATAAATATAAATAAATAAATAAATATATATATATATTTATTTATATTTATACGCAGAGACACACCTGATCACCCTGCCGAGCAGACGCAAGCACGGAACTAATAGCAGCCTCCTAGACATCACGGAGACTCTCGAAGCAACCTCTATGCAATTGGAGAGGCAGCAGCTGCCCGCGACGACAACTGCGGATTGCGCATGGCCTAGCTTATGTGGGTGTGGTTACATCGGTTTCAGGGACAACGAGGTGTGGCCTATCAGTTCTGTGAGAAGGGTCGATTGTCTATGGCCCAGGGATCAACAAGTAAAGGGTTCTACAGGGTGCTTCGGCTTGAATCTTATTGCATTCATCTCCCTGTGCGATGCCGGCACAGCTTTTGGGAGAGAGCAGCCGGAAAAGCAGTTGCTGCTGTTGTCGGCTGAGGACTCGAAGCTCGACGTGCTGTGTGAGAATGAAGGCATCCAGGGCATTCGGCGCTACATCAGGTGGGGTGCAAGTCGTGATCTTTCAAGACGCCTCCGAATCCCAAGATTGCAGCCCATGATCCTCAATACAAAGCCCGACTCGCAAATTCAGTAGTGGCAGCTGAAGATAGCGCGTCTCTAAGTTTTTTGAAGGCACATCTGCAAGAACGACTTGGGGCTCAAGGCCCGGTTCTGATCAGATTTACTGCCAGTGCCGCTGGTGCTACATCTCTACGGTAATTGCACATGTTTGGTGTGAGGTACATGCGTTATTTTGTGCCGTGTCCAGTCGCGCTGTTCTTCTGGAGTCGCGGTCGCCGTGGTACAAAGTCGCCGTCCTTGCTGTTGTTGCTGCTGTAGAGTAGAACTAGCTCGGACTGACCAAGGTTGGTCTCAGCTTTGACAGACAAGACTTGAAGCTGGAGCTGTGACCCCGAATGTTGCAAGTCATTCCTGTCCGCTGTCCGCAACCTCACTGGAAGCGCTTCGGCGCCACAGAACCTGCAGCCCGAAAGCTCCAAATCGGCAAAGGCGGACCTGTCACAGGAGCTGCGGACGCGCAGCGAGCTTCCTAGCCTTCCGAGGCTTGAGCAAAGATTTAAACTAAGTCCTGTTGCCGGAAGATGCTGTGTGTCGGGTGCTTCGATTTGGAGGTTCCGAGTTCAAGGCTGGTGAGTTGGGTTGTAGCTTTATCGCCCACAGACAACTAGATTATCGAACCCAAAACGACCGGAGCAAGTGCATGTTGAGACGCAGATTGCAGGGGTGCTTCTCTCCCGCAACGAAGGGGACATGTTCTGATTAATCGAAGCACGTGTCATCTCTACATATCGGATGCCACTTCTGGTGGGTTGCATATGTCATCTACGAAGGGGGCTGAAGCATGATCGATGTAAGGCCCATCTTACGGGCGGGAAGGTGCCGATTGATCAGCACCTGGAAGTTACCATAAAGATGCTCACAATAGTCTGGCGAGAGATTGCAAGAATTAATCTGGTGACGTGTTTAGTAGCTGGAAGTGGTAGATAGTCTTCGTCGCAGGTCGCGGTAGACGCAGTGGCCGTGGTAGCGAGGCTCATCGTCATCATTACCTGTCATTCCCTTCATCATCCTCGTGGTCGTCATTCGCGCCATCAAGCTCTTTCTAGAGATTCTAGGGTTTACAGGAACCCGAGTTGAACTTCTCATCATGATCCTGAAATCAGCTCAAGCCCTCGCAACCCCTCCCACAGCCCCCTACAACCATCCGAAACCCGAGCGCTCTAGAAGCGAACTGTCCACCTTATGCCTGCAGGTGCGGACCGAAGACAAGAATCGCACCTCCTGGTGCGGAGGATGCTCAGAGATCGTGAGTGGTCTTGAGGATTGTAGACTGGCGTACTCGTAGTAAGGTTTGGAATGCCAATGCATGGAAGGCGAAAATTTGTGTTCTTGAGGGCCCCGGCAGGGTCTGACTGAGCAGCAACGACTTGTTTGCTAACATAGCCATGGCTTGGCATGTCTGGGTAGCATGCAGGGAGAATGCGACAAGGTAGCGAAGCGGTCGCAGGCACGAAGCAGTCCAAAGCCCTTCATCTCAACACATCTTCTGCTTATTTCATAGTTCTGCACTGCCACAATCCATCCTCCTAACTGGCGTCTTGGAGTCCGCTCGCCTCGCACATCGGCACCTCCAGCCTGCCCAGTGTCTCGTCATGTCTTGTTCATAGCCACTGAGAAAGTCTCGTCTCAAATCGCTCACGACATGGTCACTCTTGTCAGGAATCTCGGACAGTCTCTACCGTCTACGCTGCCATGGCGGCCCGACGGAAGAAGATTCCGCAAGCACCAAAGTCGCTGCCTTACATCTGTAGTCTACCTGCGGTCGCCGACGGTCTACTCGTGTGGCCGTGCGGCTGCACAATCCTTCCAGACAAATTAGCAGCCATTCGATTGGCCCCATCAGCCTGAAGCTAAAAAGCCCCTAGAACTGTCTGGTTGCTGTCAGCCCTAAAACTTTGGCAGCATCCGGCCTGCTAAGTAGGGCGTGGTGAGGTTCGTAATGTGCCATGTGTCTGCAACAAGGGTGCGTACTGGGCGTTGCCGTGTGCCGTGGATTTGTTGGTTTAGTACATACGGCGACAGACACACGGACAGCAAAAAAAAAATAAGCGAAGAGGAAAGGATCTTGAGGATTTGTGGCTGTGGGACCATGTAAGGCAACAATGCAATGTTCATGCAGCTTTGGTGGCCATGGTCAACGCCGCAACGATTCCTGGGTAAACCCTACCGCAGCCCACCCCTGAATTCTGAACTTCATTGGTTCCTTGCCCGGGTGGAGTTTTGCTGACTTTCTTGAGGTGCCTTCTCCCGGTGCCCCAAATTCCTGGTGCCTTAGCGGAGCCCGCAACTCAGAGCCGGATCTGATTTGTCGCGCATTCAGAGAGTGTCAGGCTCTTTGCAGGATCATTGCTACCGCATAGAAACTTTTGGCGCGCGTAGCCTCCCGAAACCCATCTGTCTGGTTGACCTTCCGCCAACTTGACAGAATTGAATCCGCATCGGCAGGGTGGTAGAGAAGGAGGATGCCATGAACTTGGACTTACGGGGAATGAACCTCCTCGACGACGAGGCAGCAAGAGCAGGAACCCATGTAGACCATGGCCATAAACCGAATGCTCTAATCAAGGCTTGGGAGTCCATCGAAGTCCAATCATCATCGCATGTTATTGTTGGGGAGGTTCGAAGATCGCTACAGAACCCTTTGGCTTGGCTCGGCATTCAGCTCAGCCGGGCGGATTTAGGTATAACAAGGTTTGCTCCGAGCTAAGACGTTTCCCTTCGACTTGCAGAGGGTTGAACGGGATGTGAACGCAACAGCTGAGCCATCTTTCCTGGTCTTTCCTACACAAGCCCTCCCCCAGTTTATCGATGGTTGTTGCTCGGAATTGTCAGGCTTTACAGCAGTGGCAGTCCCGCGACACTAATAGTAGCTAGCAGTACTACCTGTACAGGTTGCTATCATGCTTTTGTTATTTTGCAGAGAGTATTTGCAGCATGCCTCTTGCTCGTCCGGCGTGAAGCCCCAGCGGGTGCCCACTTCCGAAAGTAATACACCCCAATCCCATTCAAGGCTTCGGGATTTCTAAGACTCTGCATATGTTCTGCGGTGCAGGCAGTCCCAATCGTTGCCGGCTTGCGTGTGCAAGACTGCTCCTTCAAGGCATGAGTCCGCTCCGGGGTGCGCAGGAAGTACGTCAGAATGCTTCGAGGTCATAGCCTGTGGTGAAGAATCATGGGCGATGATGATCACGACCATGATGGCGAGGATGCCAGGAATCATAGATAGCGACGACATTGAAGAAGATGAGAGGACGATGATAGGCCGAGGCTGGACGAGGATGCGCCGAAGCTGCTGTCACTGCTGCGGCTGCTCTGCTGACGGTGACGAAACTGAGGAAGAGGAGGAGTACAGGAGCCGCTTTAGCGGCTGGAGCTAAGCGGGCAACAGCAATTCGCGTCATGAAGTTGAGGGCTTCAAACTTTAAGATTGAACGACTCCGATTCCCGGGCCACCAGCTCGACCCCTGAACAACTGTGCCAGACCATGTTGATCTCTGGGAATCCGCAGCTCACCGACGCCTTCTACGAGCCGCTGCTGGGTGGCAGTAAGGTTCAGAGACCGGGTTGCGCAAATTCCGCTTACATGTTTATGTGCCGGATCCCAACTTGAGAAGAAATACGGGTCGTGATTCTGGTGGCATCGGTGGCGGTAGACTGCTCAAGCAGGGGAAGAAGAGAGTGCCATAGCCACATCTCCAGTCTGGACGGCGTGCTGGTACGACATCTCTGGACAATTTGTCGTTTCCCAAGGCTCTTGAAGCTCGCTTGTGAGAGATCAATGAGCGGGGCTCTAAGAGTGCTCACACTTCAGCATGTGCATCGCTGCCGCTGATGACACGAAGCCTTCGAGTAGAGAAGCTACTTCCTCCGCATGCTCGTCAGTGTGAAGATGTCATGTCTTCGCGGCTTTGTGCTTGCCATTTGAGCTTCCCCAAAACACCTGAAGACGTGTTTTCCAATGTTGCAGACAAGAGAAGATCATGGATTGTCTTGCAGCAACTGAAGACTCAAGGCTTGCTGGTCTTGGACCTTTCGGGCTCTGCACACATGGGCGAGAAGTCCATCAGCCGTCTGGCCGATGCTTCTGGGCTGCACAAATCCCATGTCGCCCTGTGTGTTGCTGAGAGATTGCCGGGTTTAGAAGCAGTAGCTCGGACTTGACGCATCGCCGGAGTTGTCTGCAAAGCAAGGCCCTGCCTCGTGCGCTGATACGTCTCAGAGTTCTGAAGCTGCTTGTCAGCACAGCCGAGATTGCATAACAGTGGCAAGAAACCGTCTTCTTCAAAACCTTTCACAAGCATCATGTTGAGGAACATCCCCATCAATATCGTCATCATGGTCCTTATCTGTAGCAGAATCATCATCACTATCATCCTCCGCATCGTTATGGCTAGCATCATCGTCAGCATCATTGTCTCTCCAACAGGATCGCTGTCACCTCCAAGCGGCTCTTGCAAAACAGATGCGGTATGATGAGAGCCTGTCTTACAGAGTTCCGCGTGGCAGCAGCAGGTGCAACATTCTGCCGGTGTTGCTACTGCTGCTGGTGTAGCGTTGTTGTTCCTTATTGGTGGGTGTGCTTGTACTCGTGCTGTCATGGCAGTTGCTGTTGCTGTTGCTGTTGCTGTTGCTGTTGCTGTTGTTGCTGCTGCTGCTGCTGCTGCTGCTGCTGCTGCTGCTGCTGCTGCTGCTGCTTGTTTCTGTTGTTGTTGTTGTTGTTGTTGTTGTTGTTGTTGTTACTGCTGTTGGGGTTGTTGTTGTTGTTGTTGTTGTTGTTGTTGTTGTTACTGTTGCTGTTGTTGTTGTTGTTGCTGCTGATGCTGCCGTTGTTGCTGTTGTTGTTGTGGTTGTTGTTGTTGGTGGTGGTGTTTCTCGAAGCATGCACTGGCGAAAGCGGTTCGCAGTCATGCCTGAGTCCTGTTACAAGTGCATCCATGCCCCAACCATGATACCGCCCATGTTACCAGTGCATCCATGCAATGACAAGGTCCATATACCTCCATGCTTCCAAAAGCCAGAAGATGGCAAGCCCTATTACTCCTTCTCGTCGCCCCCCGCGTGTGCGCATGTGCTTGTCGGCTGGGCCGGTACCTTCGACGCCCGAAACGTCGAGTAGCGCGGGATTGCTATCGGCGAGTGTTTACAATCGCAACTGCTTATGCCAGTATTGCTATTGCTCTCGTTTCCTCCGAGGCTCGATGGGACTCGGTGCGAGCAGTCATCCTGGCACGTGCTCCTGGAGGGCATGCGGTGCTTGACATACCTGAAGGACACATGAGCACATGCACTGCATCAAACCACGTGAGACCTGCAGTAAAGGCAGAGATTTGGAGTACGTTCGCAGGTGCAGCTGCAGCAGATCTGCAGCAGTACGGCAGTGTTGAATAAAGTTGTTCGTCTTTAGTGGGTTTCCGTCGTCGTCGTCGCTGTCGTCGTCGCCAAACTCGACGCAAAGAAATCCCAAGCAGCTTCACGGTAGCATTTTGGAGGACAAGGAGTGAGTATGAAAAGCACTGCTAGTTGTTGCAGTTGCCGTCGGAAGTTTTTGGTGACCATGGCTTCCATTTCGCAGCATTGCCTTGCTGTTTCTTCTTCCGATCTGAATTCCGAAGCCCGCAAAGCCTCTCCGAAATTTCCAGGAGCTGGGTCTCGCGGACATGAGCATCGGTCGCTTGCCATGTTGCAGAGCGTGCGACTGCCTTTTTTTGCACGAATCTCCTGCCAAGGTCGTCGCTCTCAGGACGTGCCCTGCCTTGTTGGTGAGCTACCAGCTTCATTGCATCTTGCTTGCAACCAGGCAAAACAGCCGACATTCTTGAGGTGTCGACGCCTCTCCCATGCACCCAAGGCCCCACCTCAAGAAGCTGAACTTGAGTGGGAACTTCTTCAGCTTCGAAGGTGCGGAGCCTAGCAGTTGGGACTTCGTTTGCAGTTCAATGCGGGTTTAAGATTCGTTCCCAAGTGCGACTGGACGNNNNCGTCCAGTCGCACTTGGGAACGAATCCTTACCCGCACGAGGTGGCAGTCGGCACAGATGATTGGAAACCTCTACCTATGCAATGATGGCGTAGCCTTGCTCATGCTCGTCAGGGCCTTGACATGACTACGAGCAACAAAGACGACCACCACCACCATCACCACCACAACAGCAACAACAACAACAAGGCCAACAGCAAACAGTAAACTACGACCAGGAAACTTCAACGAACGACCTACAACGAAAAGCAAAATCAAAACCACAGCCATGTAGTCAATCGATAGCTATACTTATAACTTTCACTCTAACGACAGTCTTGCTGTCATCATCAATGTCACCAGCAACAAATGGGCAGGGAATATTACCTCTTTGACTTTGCGAGGCTCGCAAGTCTTTCCTGTGTCCTCGAGCCCGCAATAGACTGAGGTCCATGTGTCTACCCTTCGACCCAATTCATTAGACCTAGACCTTGAGCCTCAAAACCTAAACCTAAGCACCCTAAATCACTTAAACTTCTATAGGCCTCTAACGTAGGGCCTTGAAAGCATCCGTGCGCGGCGTTGGCAGGTTGTCGTGTTTTGGCCCAGTCCGTGGAGGCCCACAGGACCCTGGAACACCTGGATTTGAGACCGGCCCCCAGGAATCACTACAAGATGCTGTCTATGAATATGCACTGACAGACGTCGTGTATTTGTGTATTTGTACACGGAAGCAAAGCCACAAGTATGGGCATGTGTATGTATTCCATGTATGTATGTATGTATGTATGTATGTATGTATGTATGTATGTATGTATGTATGTATGTTGTTTGTATGTCTGTATGTACGTATGTATGTATGTATGTATGTATGTATGTATGTATGTATGTATATGTATGTGTATGTGTATGTGTGTACGTGTATCTGTTTTGACACTCAGATTTGATGTTTTATCCGTTGCTTTATGAGTGTTCGTGTTGCGCATGTGCCGGAGTTACTGGGGTCATCATGTCGGTGAACTTTAGGCACGGCTCGAACACAACAGCTTATGCCGCCGTGTTTTGAGCAGGACAGGTTACAACAAGCTATTATACTATTAACAGCTATTGCGGCACTCATTGGTTGGCCGCTGAATAGTAGGCTAAATACAAGAAGCTGTCACGACATTGCAATAACAGTCAACAGCTACCTCTTCTCCCAGGCTACAATGCCGGTGGTTTCATTTTGACCGAGAGCGGGGCGTTGCCATCGACTTCGGCGTCGAGCAGCCTTTTCAGTGTGGGGTCCTCAGCCTTTGCAAGCTAAGGACGCAACTTAATTCTCATCTCCCGGAGTTTGCGCCTGCATGCATGTATGCCGGCATGTCTGCCCTAGGGCCAAGCAGCCGAGCGGTTTGCGGGTGCCTGCATAGCGGCAGATGTCAGATTTCCAACGTTGGGTAGAACATCGCAGTGTCAACCTTGTCTGAAGTGCTTTGCTGCGTGTTAGCATGTGTGATGATTCATAGCTATGAACAAACCCAGGCATCGCAGTATGTTACATGTGATGTTCTCAGGTTGTGCTCAAGTTGAAAAGTGTTTTGCGGAAAGTTCATGCTCTTGCGTATAACAAGACGTCACACTTTCGCATGCTTTATCAGACATTCAAGGTTCGGCCTTAGCCACTCACGTTGCCACGAAGGGGTTTCTGGAGTTGACCCTTTGCTCCGCTGCCTTGGCCGTTGACTTTGTTGGCAAATCAGTTGTAAACTCCAACCCCAAGCCGCGCAAATCTTACATGTTCTCCATGTCGTGACTACAGTCATGAATCGTATGGAGAGTTAACAAACGTTGATGAAGGCAATATTAAGTCCATCTGCTTCTTACTATGATTGTTCGTCTTCTTAGTCACACGACTATTGCACTCTTGTAATCTCCTGGGCTTCTGTCTTCGCACGCCATCGCTCTGGTGTTTAGTACATCTTAGGATCGTCACTCAGCTTGGGACGAACCGCTTGGCTACAACTTTCGGAACGACCCAACTCGATTGTCTGAATGACCAGAAGATCCCTCACATTCCCAGAGATGGCGTGCAGTAGTAAATGAGACCGGGCCGTCAACATGCATCCTGATCCTCGCCGCCAGAGCCTACGAAGCGACAGCCGTTCTCAAGGGATCGCCGCGTTGGGCTCTCAAGCAATAGTTCTGACCACAGCGGTTCTATGGGTCGATACTTCTGGCTTGAGGACATTGCCAAAGAGCTTCAGATAGGGCTTTTCGATGATCAAGGCATCGTCCGAGTTTGCTGCTCACTGTGGCAATGTCTTCACGGTTACATTGCTGGCTCAGTGGTTCCTGAGGGTTGAAGTTATCTGCTGGTTTGTTTCAGAGGAGAGAGTCTGCTGCCTCGGACTGGCGTGAGTAGAGAATCGATTCTATGGGCAGCGCCACCGGTCCGGTACTGCACCTTGAGCCAACCCATGATCTTTCCTTGCTTGTCCACCGTCCCTGTGAGTGCGAGGTTCAACCCGATCTCGCTCATTTGCGAGGTCGCCGGCAAATGTAAGTCACTCAAGTGCTTGAGACTTGGCACAACTCATATGAACATGGTTAGCCGGCATGTAACTTGACTGCTTCACTGCTACGGACAGACCCAATACAGCTGCTTCGGATGTGTTTTGATATCCGCACTATCAAGAATCGAAGAACAGCGAGACCTTGGGCTTGGATAATTCGCTTAATCTGCCAGCCGCTAGCCTTTGACTGCTTGTCAAGTTTTGTCCTGGGCTTTCCTTACATGAGCCACGAAAAACAAAATCCTATCTGTACGCTTCGCCGGTTTCGGGACCATTCCGAGATTCCCCTCACCGGTTTGTGGATCCAGGAAGCTGGCTGGCTGCCAGTTGAATTTCGACGAGGACTGAGTGCTAGCGTGTCGTGTATGCTCCGCCACCACAGCAGCTACCTGTATCACGGCAGACTGGAAGACACGGATAGAACGCGACCACGTGTTGCGTGTGTGAGTACTATTGAGTACTACCGTAGCAGCACATGTCTCTGCAACAGGATCAGCAGTAGCAGCAAGAACAGTTCACAGTAGCAGTATCAGAAGCAGCAGGTGGTGGTGGCGGTAGTGGTCGTGGTCGTGGTAGTGATGGAAGTAGTTGCAGCAGTAGCAGTAGCAGTAGCAGCAGCAGTAGCAGTAGCAGTAGCAGTAGCAGAAGCAGTAGCAGTAGTAGTAGTAGTAGTAGTAGTAGCAGTAGCAATGGAAGTAGTAGTAACAGCAGCAGCAGCAGCAGCAGGACTACTGGTGGTGGCGGTGACAGCAGTGGTAGAAGGGGTAGATGTAGGGGTAGCGGTTATAGTAGTGAGTGTTAATGGTATTGGTAGCAGGCGCAGTAGTCATAGCCGTGATAGTACTCGTTGTAGTCGTAGTAGCGGTAGTTGTAGCAGTACCAGTAGCTGCGGCAGTACTGGTGGTGGTGGTGGTGGTGGTGGGTGACCAGCGCAGTGTTCGCCGGTTTGCTGTGCCTGCAGTGACAACCTTTCGGTTTACGGTACCTGCAGTGACAACCTTCCGTCAGCTGCCTGGGAGGACTTTATCCTGGAGGCAGGGTGCTGACTAATTATTTCGATTGGACCTTGAGATTGCTGGGCGCAGGTGAGGGGGCGGGGTCTTTGGTTGAGACTCAGCACTGGAACCCCAGGGCGGCCTGCATTCTATTTCCGTGCCGATGCACAAGACCATGCAACACTTGCACTATGTCTCCGACGGCATTCCTGCTGGTAGAGGTAATGCGCAAGATATCATCAGCAAATCCGTTAACAAGCAGCTGGCACATAATAGAATATGCATATAGGATAACGTATGTATGCAAATATGCATACATACACAGTAGCATTGTCTGTTGCTGCATCACAGTGAGTGACTTAAATCTTATGCCCATAATGGCCATGCTGCACCGAAATGAGCTCTTCGTCTTCCCCAGCATTGTGGACGGCCTACCAATAGATGGACTTATGAGCCTGCTTGAATATTAGAGCATCCAGCTAACCCTAAATCCATCCCCCTTAAGCCACCCGAACCATTCCACCCCCAATCGCTGAACCCTAAACTTCTTGTGTACCAGGATACTTTCCAGTCGAGCACCGCGCACGGAATTGTGGATCTCGACCTTAGCAACAACGCTTTCCAGGCCGGACACAAACTGGAGACGGCGTCTGTCGTTCTCGCTGTCAACATCAAGTACGTAGTGTTCATGACAAGTGTCTGCTGATTAGAAGATAGCTTTCATTAAGTCGTTGATGCTAGTCATTACTTACTTGTCTCGGCAGTATACTAGGTTGTCATGCATAGTTCGTATTGTTGCCATTCCAAGTTCCTATATTCTACTGCTGTTACTAATGCCCACACCAATACTAGCATCCATACATCTGCAGTTGCAGTGCTGGCAGCCTCGATGTGTATCCTCCCAGCAGGGTAGCCTCGTTTCTCGGCAGATGCTGGTCATTTTCCGGAGCACATGTCTGTTACCCTCTTAGCTTCTAGCGAGAAGGTGATCAGCTATGGCTGCATATGCCATGGGATCTTAATTCCAGCGGATGCGTTGCTGAGCTCACAGCCTGGGTAACGCGAACTTCGACTTAAGGCTGCTTCATCCAGTTTGGCAGGATATTGTCAATCTGGTCGCCACACCGCCTCCTGCGAAGAAGCTCAACCTGACCTGAGTGAAGTATAGTCAACATAACTGTCAGCTCTGGCAAACTCCCCCTTCTGAATCCTGAAGCCTTACTGTGACTTCGCACGCCAAGCCAGATCGCTCCAACTCTGCACCTGTAGCATGCGCGAAAGTGTGCAATTCCGGACTTCCTGCAACTTCAGACTGGCTATGATGTTGATCAGGGCGTCATGGGCGTGCGCTGTCTCCTGAGGCCGGGTTCCAATCTTTTGTGCACAACGAAGTTGCTGATAATAATCGTGACAGTGCCAGTGCTAGCTGAACCGCAAGGACCTCATCGTGTCGGTGGTTGAACGAACGATAAACGATGGCACCTGTCACAACCGGTTCGACCTTTGCGGCACTTCTGCGATTATCATCGCGACGACGATGATTACCACCACCGCTGCTGCTATTTGTGTTGCTAATAGTTCATTTGCCGCTGCTGCCTCCTACTGTGCACCTCATAATCTTAAGCCCAATGGCTTGTGCGACTTATAGCAGGGGGAGACGTCTGCTGTAAAAAGATGCTCTCAATCAGTCGATTCTGGAGCAGATGCTCCCTTTGGGCAGGATCCTGGTGACTCATCCAAGTCGCTTGGATGCGTTGGCGGGCAGTCGAAAGCTGGCGATTTTTCGATCTGCCTTTGCCAAGCTTTGCGCGGCACCTCCCAATATTATCTTGATTACTGCAGCAGTCTGTAGCTACGCAAGCGCATTGCCCGTGCAGTCGATGTTGAAGCTTGATGCACAGCTCGTTAGCATACGTCTTCAGGCAGTGATTTCGCGAGGTCTGCAGAACCTTCACTTGGTCCAGATACGCGAAGCACTGCCATCTTGCGTTGCAGTACCATATGAAGCTTGGCTGAGAAGCAGCGTTGTACATCGTGCTCACCGGTTGCTGGAGCAACCCCGGCTACATATCGCTTTCTGGACTCATTGCTTCCGTTGCTGCATCGGCTCGAGGTAGACCTGTCGAGGTTTTTTCAATACACTTCATGGAACAATGAGGGTCAGAGGAAGTCTGTGCCTACTTTGGGCCGGCATCCTCTTTGCTGCGTCTGCTGTGAGACACAGATCCGAGTCTGACTCTGAATTTGAGGACCGGGAGTTGCCAGCCTAGCCGGGACAAGGGGCTGTAAATGGATGGTGGGTGGCACCATTTCCTGAAAGAGGGACCACCTCCGCACATTGCCGGATCAGCCCAACAGGACTCACTGCCGGTGGATGTTGAAAGGGACACTTGGTGTCATTCTGGCAAATCAACTTCTCCTGCGACAGTAAGTGACAGAAAGTCTGTTGACATGTTGATGCCCATGGCACTTCTTTTGGGTGAAAACTGTCGGTCAGCTCAACAACTAAGGTCCATTGCAGCTGCAGTGGTGAACTCGGCTTGACGTGCCCATGTAGTGGATCGGCCATCCAGCTGCTCCTCGCCTGCTGTGAATTTTCAATTGCTCAGAAAGAAGGGGACATGGGAGCATGCAAGTGCCAGGTGCGACTACTGCCGCTTGCTCCCTATTGCTGCTGCTACTACGACCACCGCCAACGTAATGGCTGCTGCTCGCTACAACGTCCGTTGCTGCTTCCTCCGCTTGCTACCCCGATTAAAATGCCGACATCTGCTACTGCTCATATTCATCCCAAGCCACAACCACTGACAGCTCAAGTCATAGCGGATAAGAGAGAGGGTGCAGTGCACATCTTGATGTTCTTCCCTTGTCATTGAGCCCATTTCGGGCGGTCTACATGCACGTGCACATGCACATAAAACCTGCCTGTGTGTGACAGATTTTTTTTTGTGTGTGTGAGTGTGCAAAGGTGCAGGTATGTGCAGACGTACATCTATATTTCTATAGAATATATACAAATATATATATATATATATATACACGTGTGTGTATCTGTATCTGGATTGGGTTGGATGGATGGATGAATGAGTTTGTATGTGAGTGTGCGTGTGTGTGTGTGTCTATGTGCAGGCACTTCCATAGGTAGTTGATTGGTAATGGATGGATGGGTCGATGCCTGGATGGATGGACGGACGGACGGATGGATGGATGGATGGATGGATCGATAGACAGATAGACAGACAGATAATAGATAGATAGCCATACACAGACATGCATGCGCGCACGGCACGCGCACCCACACACGCACAGACATACACACGCATAAGGGTTTAGGGCTTGCTTTATCTCGCACCGTGGTTAGAATACGCATCTATGAGCGTTCACGCATAGGGATCACATGTCAGGCCCCGTATTCGATCTTGGAGCTATAATTTTATATATCTGATACAACAAACATGAAAACCGCCGCATGCTGCTGCGACCTCAGGTCCCAACGGCAGAAGCAGCGTGCAACCAGATTAACGCATCGCCAAAAAACTCGTGCCCATAAGGCGGCCTGGCTAAGTTCGAGTTGTGAAGACATGTCTCTTTGACACAGCTCCGTGACTTCCGTCTCGTAAAGCATTGGGTTTGTCGTTGTCGGAATATGAGGCTGCTGGCCGTGTAATTACACGGCTCAGCACTCCTGCACACTCCCTGCGCTTGTTCATGTCAGATGCGTCGGCGGGATGTCAAACGGGAGCCTGACGGCAACGAAGGCCACTCTGCTTCGCATTGCTTGTGCATCTTGTTGGATTCGCAGGCTCCCTCTTTCTGTGTTTCACGCCTTTGGTAGACGCATGCGGCGTCAAGGGTAAAGTGGTAAAGTCTCTTGGCATTCCGGCAATTAAGGTTCGGACTGGGTTTTAGCAGCAGAGAGTGAGAACGAGACGAAGTCCGCGCGTAGCTTTGGAACCGAGTCGAAAGCCCCCTCTCACAGTCTACCACCCTCGAAGTTCTAGATTCTAGCTCTAAAGCGGAGCAGGGGAGTTAGAACTGTCGGCTCGGTTTTCAGCCGACCAGCGGCAGGAAGGGACCGTTAGTGCTGGTGGTCGACTTGAGTCATTGCGAATGCTGCCCCAAGAAAGCTTTGTGGACGGGCCACAGCTGCACAAGGAGCGCATGCAACCGTGTCCAGTTCAAGGGCCTCAGGCATGCAATCACAGGGCGTGTGCAGCGCACTCCGGTGAGGTCGGCAAAGTCATCGCCCACCTCAGTCCAAGCAGAGAGGGAGATGGAGAGGGAGGGAGGAGGAGAGCAAGTGCAGACGGCACTGGACAGTTCCTTGATGCACCTCTCCGTAACGACTGGGTCATCAGATTCCACCGCCGCCAGGTGGAGAAGAATCGGCAAAGGCAGAGACTGCAGACGGAGAAGAGGCTTGATGGCGGATGGAACCTGTAACAGCTTTGTGGCTTGAACCGCACCGTAGGCATCCAGCTGACGAAAGTCACCTTGTTTCTCGTACTGGCAGCTGCTTCGAGCGAAGCGATGTATTGTCTAGTTGCGGATCAGGACCAATGCGTGGAGGAAGGCTTGACACACACCCAAAATGCCTGCATCTGAGACTTTCGTTCTACTGGTCAGCAAGGGTTCCTGCTCCCTCCCGTCACTTCGGCATTTGTACGTTCTTGTTTGTATGCGGCTGGACAGTGCGGAGCGAAGCGCAGCACCTTAAGCGTCTCATTATGAGTGTGCGAAGAGTCTGTATAGTTGCAGCTGGGGCTCCGGCTCTGCCCAGAGCCTAGAGCTAGATCCAGGTAGGTTAGTTGTAGGCTTTTCTTTTGAGCCCACCGCCACCCCAATCGCCCCCAGGAAGTTTGTAGTTCCTTGCTAGGAAAGACTGTCAGAATTTGCGCATCCCACAAACAAGAGAGCGTGTGCGCATTTGCATCCTCGAAGTGTCACGGCATCTATGGAATCTATGGGCTGGAGGGTGGGTAGTTTGTACATGAGAAGACTAGAATACTAGACACCTTCAGCACACAAGTACGTGTCGCGTGCTTGCATCATCATCCTCGTATAACTGTCGACGTTCTTCTGGAACTCTCGCGCAACATCGCGCAACCCCCGCCTTTTTGCCACGCAGATGAGAATGATGGCGATGCTGAGGACAATGACGCTGATGTGCTTCCTGCATGCTGGTTGGGTAGAAGTCAGCTCCAGCATGTGCTTATTGGCTTGATTGACTTTCATTCAGGACTCTTGAGCAAGGGACCGGAGGAGTGTGCGGACGGGGATCGTGATCACCATCTTTGAGGGAGGGACCTGGGAGAACCCACACCACAAGGAACCACAGTGGGAGGGGGATACCATGGGGAGGTGGGGAGGGGGGGCCTGGCAGCGCTGCACCATACTCATACATATATATATATATATATAATATGCATATATATATATATATATGTATGTATGTATGTATACATAGAGAGAGAGAGAGACTATAGTGATACCACACTACACCTTTCTTGCAATAATTTGCCATACCATACCATCATAGACC